CCTGCACATCTCTCCCTGCTTCCTCTTACGTTACCGCCCGACGAAGACGACGCAACTCTCATAGATCCCTCGTCGTCACGATCCCCCCCCCCCCGTAGCTCGGGATCTCGCAACTTCCTACGAGGAAGATTCGCGCCGGATGCGAGCGGATCTTCAAATTTCCGCAAAACCGAGAAAGCACAAATTTAAATGCGCGCGCACGGCACTTTGCCTGAGTCCTTTCGCTCGCGAAGGTGTATATTCCATTATATATAACTTCTACGGCGGGTGTGCGAAAAAAAATACGAGATAGCCATTACGACGTTATTTCAAATTTTAAAAATCGGATCTATTTAATTAGAACATAGATTGTATGAGATTTAATTTAGATTGTATGAGAAAAAAAACTTGTCTTCTCAGCTTGTAATTTTTTTCGTAAAATCTTAATTTATCAATTTGTATTATATACCTTTGATACCTTTAGATAGTGCGGTACAAATGGCACGTTGGCTCGTACGCGAGTATATAGAATCGAGAATAATGGACTCCATCGCAGTCGCTGTATTTTTAGCTTTGCTTTGTAATCATTACGGTCACGATCTACTGTCGTCAGCGGTAAAGCGTAAAGCGACAGCACATTGATTGCACATTTATATTACAAAAACAACGTCCGCACAGCGTCGACGAACTTTTGCGAGAGGTATTCGTCGCAATTTGTTAGAACACGGGACGAAGACGAATGCCTGTAATTTACGGCCTGCGATTTGCAATGCAAAAAAGAGTAGCAGTGGATGAGGAGAGATTCGGCGTTGTCGTTTCATTTCGTCTCCTCCGACATTCGTGTTTGTCCTCGACGTATTGCGTCGCTTCCTCGTCGCCCGGGGTAAACGATGAATCATTTAGCGAGCCGTGTTCCGGCCACCACCGACTCTTAATCGAGTCTTTCCGTAGGAAGCAAGACGGTAATCTCTCTCTCGGAAACTTTCCGCGAAACTTGGAGATTTATCGGGGAAATAATTTATTTGCCCTACGGCAAGAGCAGCGGCGGCGGAGGGGTGTCGCGGTTGTGTCGCGTCGTGCCGGGATGTCGCGATTTTCATCCCTCTCCACTTCCCGCCGGAGTGCTTTGATAGTCAATATGAATCTGCAATTAATCCCGCAATGTCAGCGGCGCTCGGCGTAAAAGAGGGATATTTTAACATTCCCTATTAATTCCCTGAAAGAACGCAAATATTCACTCTTCCAACATTATCCCGCGCAATTAATTTGTGACTTCACATTTTTACGATGCCACTCAACGACGTCTCTCAAACGTGTAAAATACGTGTATTTGTTGATCGAGCACACGTTCCTCGTTGGGAAAAACGGAACTCGAATATCCGTCCGCTGCGATATCAGAGTTACGACTTCCCACGTTTGTCGTTAAGATTCTAGACGTTCGCCCGTCTCGCGCGTTTATCCATCGGGATCGAAGTACCCCGGCGTGATTCTGCTTACCGTACCGGTTAAATGTTATTTCAATTACGACACGTTTGATGTCGTCTGGCGCCGGTTTTACGGTCACCGGCGACCGTAAAACCTTAACGGCTGTGAAATCTAAGCGGCGATAAGGTGGCGCGTAGGAAACACCGTTTACACGGTCCAATCGACCGGAAATCAATTCATCGACGAAGAACTCCCCCGCACTCGACCACGCCGACGACCCCTTTGTTTTGTCGAACGGTTACGATTTGTCAGCGCATATTGACCATTCAGTCGCAGTTACGTATCGCGGTAGCGGTTAACATAATGGCAATTCTCTGCGGCGTGCGGTTGAATTCTGATCAGAGAAGAAACGATTCGGGAGATCTTCCAGCTTTTATTTATTGAAGAGGATTTCGCTTTGAAACATTGCACTTTGTAAGAATAATTAGGATTATTACTAAACAATATAATTTCAGTAATCTAATGCGTCTTATTTTTGCAATTGCAATTTGGAATTTTTTGCGAAAAAGTATTGGTATTCGAAGCAGGTTTCGTAAATTTACAAATTGACCGCGTGAAAAATCTCCATACTGCTTTCCGTAAAAGGTAAAAAATTAAAATGTAATTCTTTATCAAATTTTAATAATTGTATTCCAACAGAAGAAAATCTAGAGTCTTTCTTTTCTCTCATATTATTTTACTCTGCGCACAGTAAGTTGTACGTTTAAGAAATTGTCTCCATCTTGAGTTTTTGATCACCGCAGTTTGATGCTGTATTTTACATGGTTCCTGATGTGTGATCCATAGAAAAACAAAGCATCACCCGGGCTATCTCCTTCTCCCACTTTTTCTCCAATTTTATTCCACGCACCGCGCGCGCGCGCGCGCGCGCGCGCGTGTGTGTGTGTGTAGTGTGTGTGTGTGTGTGTGTGTGTGTGTGTGTGTGTGTGTGTGTCAGCATATACTGAACCGATATGAGCCTATATCCGTGTATGTTGCATAGTGTCAATTTCGATTATCCTCGGATGGTAGAAGAGAAAGAATAGGGATAGGAATACTATTCTACTCTCTCACGCTCCAAGCGCTGCGCAAGGAGAACAGAGATACTATCGTACTACTCTCTCGCGCTCGACGCAATGATCAAATGTCTCTAAACGTTCCTTGATTACCGTTCACTATTGTTGACATATACTGAAAATAATAAGCGTATTGATAATGTGAACAAAAATGACAATTGTTATATATGATCATTATACTTTACATATAATATTCATTATAATAAACTATTCTATAATTTTATTTATTTAATGTTTAAAATTTTAAATAATGTAATAATGAGAATATATATGAAATTATTTTATAATATATTTTCCATTATTCTCTTAAAAATTCAAAGTTTGCTACGTTTTGAGTAATTAGTTATAAATTCGACAAATTTGTCGCATTTACTTAATGAAATATGAAAATGAAATAATCAATTTTACATCTTGCTTCTTCTCTCTTTTTTTTACTTGCAAGCGAAAATATACGCTACAATACAAGTATATAATAAACAAGAATTTGTAAATAATTATTCAAAACATAGGAAACTTTAAATTTTTAAGAGAATTTTGAAAGATATATTGTAAAATAATTTTATATATATTTTCATTATATTTACAATTTTTATACATAAAATTATTAACAGTTATTATAATAAATCCCAAATAAGAAAGGAGGATGTGCGTCACGGCTGGGCCCGATCACGAACCAGTCGTAAAAACTCGTAATTATTTTGCGAAAAAATATCATCTCAGCCAGGAATCGAACCTGGATCTTCTGCTTACCGGGCAGGCATCTTATTCCTTCGACGCACACCCTCCCTTCTTATTCGGAGGCTCGAGCCATGCTTGATGTAATCTCTCCTGTCGTGCTTCAGGAGGATTATTTGTATGTTTGCCAATAGCGTTGGAGAGTGTTGCCGCTGCAGTCCGACTTGCATCCATCGAGAGAATAGGACCATCATCTCTCTGGAGTACCGGTCGTGGGGATTCGAAAGAATACATGTATATATATATATATA